CAGTTGCCCATCAATATTAAAGATCACATGGGAACAATTGAAAGAAAAATAAATGCAAATAGAGTCCATATCATAGAAGCCACATATTTTATGCATCAAATTATTATTATTATTTTGATAGAACAATTGAATTTTTATTAATCAAAAAAGAGTAGTACATCATTCTGGATAAGATGTAATAAAAAAAAATGACGATCCTCTCTCCATGTACAAGGATNGTTTTTCAAATCCGTAATTCAAAACAAAGATCTAAAAATATTAACTCTTTATAAACTTTACATTTAACCACCAATTAATGTGAAACCGGTGATATCCATTCCCCCACTCCTTGATCAAAAAAATAAAAAGTCCCCCACTCCAAATAACGGGTTCGTGGGTTCAATCCTAGCCCATGTGGCATCGGAGGTATCCATGTTTCTAATTTTTAAAATATCAATTTGTGAATTCAACCCTAACCCGTGTGGATCATGGATTTTCAAGTTCCTATCTCAAAAATTGGTCGTGGGTTTGACCCAAATTGGAGCTAAATTGTATCATCCTTGAAAATTCAGTGTTTTTTCTGTTTAGATGGGGGAGGGGGTAAAATATTGAATAGTATATATTGAGGAGTAGGAGCTTGATTTCTCCAAGTCTGTTACTTTTAACTACCTATTAACTTACCCTCCTTACTTTGTCACAAATTTGCCTTTGATCGTTTATATTAATTAGGGGTGTTTAAATTTCTGATTAGTTGTAATTTTTTACTTTATTCGACCCTAGGCGACCCTATTGCATGGTTGGTCGAAAAAAGCGGGTAAGAATGCAGAAGATTTTTTAGTCTTCTGATTAAATTGGTTGAGAATGCGAAATAGTCATTAATTTTCATATTTCTATCTTACCCGCATTAATTTATTTATTTATATATAAAAACTAAAAATCCTAATTTCCTAATCATATGGTTTAAACTTAAAATAATTGTTATTGTATTTGTGCAACAATTATGATGTATTGATGTTTATTCTTTTTTTTGTTTTATTGTAATTGTTGTTATAATTGTTTTAGATTTTAGTGTTATTGGTTTATAGTGTTGTTAAATTGGTGTATGTAATTTAATTGAATTGTTAAAATGATCCAAAAATTAATAATTACAGAAGTGTTCATCTAATTTCCTACCCGACTTTCTATCTCATTAATTTGGCTAAAAGTTGGGTAGAAATATCACACTTGATCAGATAGGATAGTTCAAGAAAAAAAAATTCTTTAATAAAGTTTCAGATAAAAAGACGAAATACCATATTTCATATCCGTTGGAGTGAACACACCATCAATATTATTAATCATCTCTCTCTTCCACGCTCTCCTCCCTCTTCTTTTTCAAAGTGATTTGTGACTTAATTTCAGAGATTTTATCAAAGTAATTATAACAATTATTTTTATTTTGATCCTTTACGTTTACATTTATATCTAATTAGTTTCAGAAATCATGGTGTCTAATCAATCAAATTAGTAATTGTTGTCAAAATTTCAAACAGAAATAGTGATGTGCTGCTGTGCCCATGAGTTGAATGAACCAAAATAATTGGAGACAAAAATAATTTGTTACACTTTTCATCTTAAAAGTACCTATATATATAATCAGATTAAAAGTACCAATTGATTCATAAATATTTTAAACTTTTTATAGTCCCCAAAATTTGGTGTGCTTTCCCTTTCGCCCCTTAACTTTAAGGAGACAGCAAATTTTCCATTGGAAACTAGCTGGATTATTGATAGGTATTTGAAGTAATTAGCAGTTGCCCATCAATATTAAAGATCACATGGGAACAATTGAAAGAAAAATAAATGCAAATAGAGTCCATATCATAGAAGCCACATATTTTATGCATCAAATTATTATTATTATTTTGATAGAACAATTGAATTTTTATTAATCAAAAAAGAGTAGTACATCATTCTGGATAAGATGTAATAAAAAAAAATGACGATCCTCTCTCCATGTACAAGGATTCATACAATTTTTAAAAAAATTAGCAAAACAATTAGCCATCAAATTCCTGTCTCTATGAATCCATGAAACTGAGTAATCTACAAATCCATCAACATAACTGTTAATTTGATCAATAAATTTACTCATTTATGATAAATCCGAAGTACACTTTTTCAAAGCATCTATAACCACCCCCGAATCACCTTCAAGGATAATTTTTCTATATTCTAAGCTTGCTGCTATTTTAATTGTTGTTGTTGCTGCTAAGGCCTCCACATGAACAAATAATTATTAACCAATTCAACCATTGACATTCATTTGGTACACAAANTTTGTTTTATTGTAATTGTTGTTATAATTGTTTTAGATTTTAGTGTTATTGGTTTATAGTGTTGTTAAATTGGTGTATGTAATTTAATTGAATTGTTAAAATGATCCAAAAATTAATAATTACAGAAGTGTTCATCTAATTTCCTACCCGACTTTCTATCTCATTAATTTGGCTAAAAGTTGGGTAGAAATATCACACTTGATCAGATAGGATAGTTCAAGAAAAAAAAATTCTTTAATAAAATTTCAGATAAAAAGACGAAATACCATATTTCATATCCATTGGAGTGAACACACCATCAATATTATTAATCATCTCTCTCTTCCACGCTCTCCTCCCTCTTCTNTTTTTTTTATTTAAATTTATAATTAGTCACGTAAGAAAGAAAAGAGTTTAATGAAACAACTAATTCGGTTTATAACAATTATGGCTTAAATCTAGTCTAGTAAAATAAAAAAAAATTAAAATATAAAATAGGGTAGATTTCAATAAATTCATTCAACGATCTCAAATAGACTAATTCAACGGCTATCAACGTCTTTTTTAAAATTATTCATATTAAGTGTACTTTTAGACACGAATTATTCCTGATAAACTAAAATATGAGGACCGTCCGTTTTAACGAAATTGAAATTCAAAGACATTAAAAATAGAACAATGAAACGTGACATTAGACTATGGTCTAAATGTCAACCTTTACGGTCTCGGGTCCCACCGCTCCATTATTTAAGCTATTCTATATGCATATTATTCTACCAGATTATTCTACGTCACCTAATCAAACGACACACAATCCAAACAAGAACCCGACCCTACCAATCATTCCTTTTTTTTTTTTTTTGGTTAGTAAGATATTTAGACTTGGACCTAATTTGTTTAATTGATTTTCCATTGTCAATAAATTAGTAATGATTTTGAATACTAAATCAGACTTGTTGTCATTCCAGGGATAACAAAATATGTGATTAATATATTAAATTCAAATAATGCAATTATTTACATAATTCACACCAAAGAGCATGTATGAGTCTAAATTTTGGGTTTTACCCATTAACTTTTTTCAAATTTGATATATTTTTATTGTTTTAAAAAATAAAAAAATGTTAAAAATATAATTTTAAAATATAAAAAAATACTTCATTAATCATACATTAAATTAAGGGAATTTTATATATGAAAATTATCATTCTAATTTTTTGAAAGTTCGTCGCCCTATATTATTGGTTTAGTATTTGGATAAATTTCCTATCCCAACANCCCATTAACTTTTTTCAAATTTGATATATTTTTATTGTTTTAAAAAATAAAAAAATGTTAAAAATAAAATTTTAAAATATAAAAAAATACTTCATTAATCATACATTAAATTAAGGGAATTTTATATATGAAAATTATCTTTCTAATTTTTTGAAATTTCGTCGCCCTATATTATTGGTTTAGTATTTGGATAAATTTTCTATCCCAACAAAAAAAAAAACTATAGAATTTTCATTCTGAAAGTTTTCTTTTGGAGTAAATATTCATTAATTTGATTAAGCTAAATTTCTCCAATTTATAACATGATTTTTTTTTAATTTTTAATTTTTTTAAAATTATTTAAAAACTTGTAAACCATGGTGAGCACAACAGCGNCGCCCTATATTATTGGTTTAGTATTTGGATAAATTTTCTATCCCAACAAAAAAAAAAACTATAGAATTTTCATTCTGAAAGTTTTCTTTTGGAGTAAATATTCATTAATTTGATTAAGCTAAATTTCTCCAATTTATAACATGATTTTTTTTAATTTTTAATTATTTAAAAACTTGTAAACCTTGGTGAGCACAACAGTGNTTTCATTCTGAAAGTTTTCTTTTGGAGTAAATATTCATTAATTTGATTAAGCTAAATTTCTCCAATTTATAACATGATTTTTTTTTAATTTTTAATTTTTTTAAAATTATTTAAAAACTTGTAAACCATGGTGAGCACAACAGCGTAGTTGTGAGTGCGACACACTGTAGTGTACACACTTAACGAAGCAAAAATCGATCGTGCTGGATATGTTATTGTTCTTCGACCATGGCTTATTTAGGAAGAAGAACACTCTCTTTCTCTTTCTCTTTCTCTTCCTAGAAAGTAGAAATTCACCCCACCCACGCACCTGCACTCGCACTGTCTCTGTCTCTCTCTTTCTTCGAGAAATTTTCTCACTCTAAAAAGTTGAAACTCACTCCAAACACCCCTGTTTCTCTCTCGCTCTTGATTGGTAGCTTTCTCTCTGTAAAATACACTAATCACTAATGTGGTTAGATTGGCNTAGAAATTCACCCCACCCACGCACCTGCACTCGCACTGTCTCTGTCTCTCTCTTTCTTCGATAAATTTTCTCACTCTAAAAAGTTGAAACTCACTCCAAACACCCCCTGTTTCTCTCTCGCTCTTGATTGGTAGCTTTCTCTCTGTAAAATACACTAATCACTAATGTGGTTAGATTGGCACCTTTAAATCTCTACTTTCTCTCACCTGTACAGATTCATCACTCCCTCTCTTTGTATGTATGCGTAAATATACAAGAAAATGTAGCAACCAGTTAGTGTAGGATCGCTTTCTTTTCACACACACACACCCAGTTTGTCTAAGGTGATCGTGGTGCAATGTTGGCAGTGATCGACTGAGCTGGTCGGAGAACTGGTTCTATAATGGCGAAATGCCACCGAAATGACGTCGGATCAGTAGTTCTAGACCGCGTCAACGGCGGACACTTCAAACTATGGTCCGCATTTTCCGGCGCATCATTCCGCCGGAAAATCATAGACACCATGCGCTGCGGCGGTGGCAGCATTTCTCGACGAGCGAAACCCACCAAAACTTCGTCGGAGAAGCCAAAACACCAACCTGAATGCAGATCCGAACGTAAATCAGAGCCGAAGAAGAAAGGTGGGTCCGACAAGTTATCGGAGCTTCTGAAACTATCAGAGTTGTCGGAGAATGAAGAAGATGTGAAGAGGAAAGTGGAGGCATTGGAGGGGTTTAAGAGAGTGGCGAAGAAGTTACAGTGTGAAAACGACGCCGTTTTGGAAGCAGCTATGGAGGTGAGGAGGCTGACGAAGGAAGATTCGGAGGCGAGGACAACATTAGCTTTGATGGGAGCAATTCCACCGCTTGTGGGATTGCTTGATTCGGAGGATTTGCAGTCTCAGATCGTTGCTTTGTATGCTTTGCTCAATCTGGGGATTGGCAATGATGAGTGAGTTTTATTTCTTTGATTTTTCTTTTCAGTTTAGTTCTTCAAATTTTCTTCGTTTTGAGTACTTTTTGTTTGGTTGCTGAGAAAATGGAGGAAAATAATAGAGTTGATGACACCGAAAAAAAATGCATCATTTTCCCTGATTTTCAATTTTCCAACTCTTTTGTTGCTAAGAAAACAGAGGAATTTAAAGTATATTCTTTTTGGGTTTTGATTTTTCTTTTTCTTGTGGCAAACAAGGAGGTATCTGGCCTATTAAAGCAATGGAATAGTCCCCACCCAGTTGCAGTTACATCCTAAATGTATCAGTCTATTAGATGAAACCTTGGGGTCTTTGAATTTTGTAATTTAGCCAGGTATACATGATTGGGCAAGATTCAAGAATTTGGTTTTCTTTGGGNCCTATTAAAGCAATGGAATAGTCCCCACCCAGTTGCAGTTACATCCTAAATGTATCCAGTCTATTAGATGAAACCTTGAGGTCTTTGAATTTTGTAATTTAGCTAGGTATACATGATTGGGCAAGATTCAAGAATTTGGTTTTCTTTCTGNCAGAGGAATTTAAAGTATTTTCTTTTTGGGTTTTGATTTTTCTTTTTCTTGTGGCAAACAAGGAGGTATCTGGCCTATTAAAGCAATGGAATAGTCCCCACCCAGTTGCAGTTACATCCTAAATGTATCCAGTCTATTAGATGAAACCTTGAGGTCTTTGAATTTTGTAATTTAGCTAGGTATACATGATTGGGCAAGATTCAAGAATTTGTTTTTCTTTCTGTTTCTTGTACTTAAAAATATGGATGTTTTTCTAGAATGTAAGTTTTTTGTTCCTTTTGAATTCACAAATTTGAAGAAATTATGACTTCTGTGGTGTTTTGTTCGATTTCTTTCATCTTATGGAGTTAGTAGTATTTTGGCAAAGTTAAGTTTTAGTTTCTATGCCCCGTTTTCCTCTTAATTTTACCATAAAGATTATTACTCCAAACGAAAATACCATTGAAAGAGGGAAAATATTACCTTGATCTGTAAATCTAAGGAAACCATTAATTAGAAGTTGATAAGTAGATAATGTGCACTTTTCTGTATGTCCAGGTTTTTTTCTCCTAGAACAATTTTGGATGCCTACACAATGTGTTAGTTGTTATTCATTCATATAAATAAGTGATAATAACCTTTTCACTCACATTTTCTTTGTGACCAATAATTTATGATTTTTTATTATATTTTATTCTATTGCTGTAATATGGAACTTGAATCAATTCTTTCTCAACCTTTTTGCAGAAACAAAGCTGCCATTGTTAAAGCAGGGGCTCTTCATAAGATGCTGAAGCTCATTGATTCTCCAAATGGGTCACCAAACCTGCTTGTTGCCGAAGCAATAGTTGCCAATTTTCTTGGCTTGAGTGCTCTTGACTCGAATAAACCTATTATTGGTTCTTCTGGTGCAATCCCATTTTTGGTAAACACCCTTAAAAATTTGGATAAAACAAGCAGTTCTCAAGTGAAACTAGACTCTTTGCGAGCCCTATACAATATTTCAATCTTGCCTTCGAACATTTTGCCAATTCTTGAAACCGGTTTGATACCTTTTCTCTTGAGCTTACTGGGGGATATGGAAGTAAGTGAAAGAGTCCTATCGATTTTTAGCAATATAGTATCTACTTCAGAGGGACGAAAGGCGATTAGCATTGTGCCGGATGCTTACCCAATTGTGATTGATGTGTTGAATTGGACTGATTCATCGGGCTGTCAAGAGAAGGCATCATACATTTTAATGGTGATGGCTCACAAGGCGTATGGAAATAGGCAGGCCATGATTGAGGCTGGAATTGTGTCATCCCTTCTTGAATTAACACTTCTGGGCAGCACATTAGCACAGAAAAGGGCATCACGGATTTTGGAGTGTTTGAGAGTAGATAAAGGGAAGCAAGTATTGGAAAAGTTTGGGGGAGGGTTGAGCGCAACGGTGTCTGCTCCAATATGTGGGTCGTCATCATCATCGGTAGACGCAAATCATCAATTGAAGGAGTGTGTGGAGGAGGAGAATGATATGATGAGTGAAGAGAACAAAGCAGTGAAGCAATTAGTTTGCCAGAGCTTGCAAAACAACATGACTAGGATAGTGAAAAGGGCCAATCTGCCACAAGATTTCGTTCCATCGGATCATTTCAAGTCCCTCACATCAATTTCAACATCAAAGAGCTTACCATTTTGAGCCAGTTGGAAGAAAATTCTAAGTTAGTCTTATCTTCATCGTATTTAATTAAGTTTCATTGTAAAGAATTGCATGATTTCATTTCTATATATAATAGGATTTGGACATCGGAGTGATATTCAGTCTTGGTTACTTTGATGTTGATGGCTTCATGTGTTCTGTGTAAATGTATATAATTATGGAATGTTTATGCATCCAACTTGTGAAATTCATGTTAGTTGAGTATTTAATATTTTTCCAAAACATTAGGAATTAATCATTGTATTGACATCTCTTCCTGTTTGCTTTTCATAGTGTTGGTTTAACAAGGCATATAGTTACAACAAACTGGGGATTTGATATTACCAATATTTTCATCTCATGGAGTTTCTTCTGTGGTTACATTGATGGTGATCAGTTCTGACGTTTCAATGTGGTATTCACTTGAGCTAAAATATGAACGAGGATATCAATGCAACAGACTAGGAAAGCTTACAGGCTCCATGTTGCCAAAAATCATGCAGTCTCTGTCAATTTTTTCTAAGGACCAAGTCTGTTAATGAATTGGATTTTGAGTGGATTTATAGCTGAATTTTAATCTGATTAGTCATGTATTGATTGGTATTTTGGTAGGTTAAATGAATCTCTATTCGAATGTGTAATATCCTATTTTAGGTATATGGTTAACACTAATACCTAATCCAATCTGTCTTACACATTCATACACATGGATACATGCACAAATACAAGAACATTGTATGATTATAGCTGAATAAAATTTTTTAAGCAAAAAATAATTTCGTCAAGAAAGCAATGGCATATTTAATCTACATTTTTTGTAAAAATGATCCGAATGCACCTCAGTATGTCATAATATATTCTTGTATGTGCATATGTGTACTGTCTACATTATCATTAAGCCTAGAAGAAGAGAAATAAATAGCAAACTGAAGTTACTTACAAAAAAGTAGTTAAAAAACATTTCTAAATATAATTTACTAAAATTCAATTCTAATTCAATAACAATTTTGAGTCAAATTTTTGAGTTCTGGATGACTGATAACAATCTATATGTGAGATAATAGCGGTGCAACATGCAAATTTGCAAGACATGAGGGTTGCTTTCGTCATAGAACTGGTGAATGCCCTCTATTTGAATGTCACTTTCATGTTTCATCCAAGTCGTACACAGACATTTATTTATCTAAGAGAAGGGTGTCGGTCATTTTCTTACGTACAATAACGGGGACAACTCAGTGGCATTTACACCTTTGAATCTTTTCTGATTGTTTTTTTTCTTCTGGGTTTCTGAGTCTCATCTGGAATCTTGAGTTCTGGATGACTGATAACAATTTTTATGTGATATAGTAGCGGTGCAACATGCAAATTTGCAAAACATGAGGGTTGCTTTCGTCATTGAATTGGTGAATGCCCTCTATTTGAATGTCACTTTCATGTTTCATCCAAGTCGTACACAGATATTGATTAATCTAAGAGAAGGGTGTCTGTCATTTTTTTATGTACAATAATGGGACAACTCAGTGGGCATTTACACCTTGGAATCTTTTCTGCTTGTTTTTTTTTCTTGGTTTCTGAGTCTCATCTGGAATCCTATGGGTTTACACAGAAGGGTTGAATTTTTTATGCCTCTACACAGAGAACATGGATTGTTAAGCACTGTTTACTAGCTTATGCATTAATTAATTTTTCAGGCTCTTTGACTTTGTTTACTTAACTAATTGTAATTAATTATTTATTACAGAAATATATAGGGGAGGATGGGTGCTACATTTTGGATCGAATGGAGACGAATCAGAGCTGTTCGTTGCTAATGAAAGTCGATGTCTGATTACTGTCCAAAACGAAGATAAGAATATCTATCAGTTATTTCTATCAAAATTTGGACACTGGGTACAGCTTTTATCATAAGATGGTCATCTTGTGCAGAGATTGGTTTATTTATCTGTTTGCTTTTTACTTTCCTTTCTTTTCAGGCCATGCTCCTTCATAATTTGTTCGGTTGTAAATAAATTCTGGTAAATATGTATTTATCTGTGGTAAATTTTGTTTACATCTAATACTTCACCATGAGATTAAACCTTGTTTGATTCTACAGAAAGAAGAAAAGGATTGAATTAAGTAGTGATTAAACGTTATCCACTCATCCCAGCATCCTCAACTTATAAGAATCAAACTGGGTAATGACATTTTATTAAGGATGTGCATCGTGGATTTAGACGTGATAATTCTGCAGATTATTCTGGTGAAGTACTATGTCAATGTATTTTATTATGTACTGTGTCCAATGCTGTAGCCGTATACAATTGATTTGCACAGATAAGGATTATTTTTAATCTTTGGGGTTGACAAATTTAAGTTTTTCAAGGAAGTCTGCTTGGGATATGAGAGGACTGTATGCCTGGACAGCTTTCAAACCCTCATTCTTAGAGAAGTAGATTACTTCATGCTCATTTGATCTTGACTTTTCCAAGTAGGTGGACCTGTGTGTGTGTGTGTGTGTGTATTCTCCATCAATTATTTGCATCAAGATGTAAAAACATGAACCCTTAGCTATTAATGTTCTAGTACGACATAAATGGTTCACCAGCTGCATTAAGTTGGTTCCATCTTTAGGCCTGCGTGTGAATAAGAATTAGTTCCATGGTTTTACTTTTGTTTTTTTAATATCTGACAGCTAGTGTGACCACATTGCATTTTTTACACAAAGTCGTTATATAAACTCGAGATACAAATAATCATCAACAACTTACATGTTGATGTAACCTAATTTTCATTATTATTTTTTTTGTTTTTTTTTTTGGGGGGGGGGGTGGAAATGGGAATTTGGGTCACCCTCTCACCTCGTGGTGCTATAAGCTTAAAGGTGGAAGATCTTCTCTGGTTCTGACCACCCTAAATAAAGTGTGGAGAACAAAGTGTAGAACATATAAGAGATATAGTTTATTATTAGAAACATTAAATCAATATTTTTATCATTAATTTTTATCCTCTCCAATTATGGAGAGAGAGAGAGAGAGTCTTGGGTGAATAGGCATGAGAGGAGAAGACTTCAAATAAGGATAGACTCTTGAGTCTTGCTCTCCATCATATACCTAAGACCGTCCCCACCCTAATTAAAAAGGACAGTGCAGTCCTCTAAACCGAGGAAAACGGCCAGAAAAAACCATCATGGTACCTGCCTAAGTAATCCTTAAGTGGGCCCTCCTTTAATTGGAATGGGTAGGCTCACTCAAGAATAAGCTTGATGGACAGAGGCTACAATACAAACCAACCCCTCCTCCTCCCCCTGTCATTGGGCATCTCCATCATGATTGGAAATGTTTGAGCCAACAGCCTGTCACAGCAGCAAAAATGTTGTTGGGTTTTTCCTTGCGTCTGTATGTAGTTGTAGTGCCATATTGTGTCAGATCAACCCCTCTCGGTAATAGGAGTACAATTTCAATCCTTCATCAAATATTGCACAAATTATATTTCGCCTCCCTCAATTATGGCCCGATTCTCCTTTTGTTCCTCAACTATTGAATTTTTCACATTCCCCACTTAATTGCATGAATTGGCTTCCACATTGAACCAAAAAATAAACACCCATCATATTTTGTACAAAAATTTTAAGTATATTGTAAAACATATATATATATATATATTTTATTTCCACAACTGGGCCAAAGTGAAATAGATAATTATAAGGCAATGTGAAAAATGTAATAGTTAAGGAGACAATGTGAAATTAATTACTATAATTTGAGATGTAATGTTAAAAACTAATTGTTGAAGAAGTAATGTGCTAAAATAATTTACTCTCCAGTATTTGTAGGTCAAGATTAAAGGCTAGGCATATGGCCTTTGGAAAATAGACTAACCTAGTTGCCTTGTGGCCCATCAAATCATGGGCCAACTAGCCCATTACATGGGAGCCTGACATTCCAAAGGGCTGGGCATGAACTGTGGGTTTTGGGTTATTAGACCCATGGATGCACAATTAAAGTGAAAATTAGAATTAAGAATAATATGAGAATTTCTTTTACCAACAAGTACAGACGTGTACTTATTGGGTCAATAAGGACACAAGATATGCATTTTTTGGTAAGCAAATGCATAGGACTCCTTTCATTTTTTTTATTTCCTATTTTGACCTTGTTTCTCTTTCATATCCATTCAACTTCTCTTTCCTCTCTACCTTTAATTTTTATATCATCTCTCTCTCTCTCTTCTACCTTTTCTTTAAATTTCTCTCTCTCCTATATCTCTTTTGTCCCACTCTTTCTCTTCCCTCAAATTTTCTATCCTCTCTCTTATGTCAATCTCTCTTCTATTTTTTATTTAAATTTTTATCTATCCTAACTTTTCCATCCCACTAATTTTCTCTCCTCTCTCTTTCATCTTACTAATTTGATCTCCCGTCCCTTTTATCTCTCTCCTTCAATCTAAACCTTATAATACTTGTGTTAATGTTTCTTTCTATGCTAGTTTATATTCAATTCATTGCAGATATTGTCATCATCTGTAACAAATTGTCATCAGTCTTTTTTTTAGGATATGTCACAAGTATCGTTGTTGAGATTGCAATCTTTAAAGAGGTTTGTGTATACTTATTATAATATTTAGTGAAAATTTTCTTTTATTTTTGGTATGTATTTTTCTTGTGATATAGTTGTTTAAGCAATTGTCACTGCCTTGAAATAGTGATATTGGGATATTGTCACTGTCTCACCGTCCATGAAATTTCTGATTTTGCCCCCGAGAACAACTCTATCATATCTAGCATGTTATATTTTGTATTGAGTTGGTTCCACTGATATAAGATTGATTTTCTTAACCATGAAGAGCACTAATGGGTGGCATCAGGCCCGGTCATCGGGTCATTGACTGGTCGACTGGGCCAGCCTTCCACTAGACCAGTTCTAATGGGCCTATCTATTCATTTATTTTTTTTGAAATCTTGGATATTTGTTTTTTTAATAATTTTAGTAGGCTGATGGACCGGTTTATTTAACCAAAAT